AATATAATCACGATGATTTGTTTAAGGTGTCACTACAACCACATCTTGCTGCAGGTGTCACTGCAATTTGCTATTACTATTAAAATTATTGCAAAAGCTATACTCCATATGTAATTTTACTGACCAATCAAATTGCTTTTTTCAAATTAAAGCTGGTTGCCTGGTACATGTACATGTAGCAAGATTTTGCCTTTTTTAACTCAATCATTCAAGAGACTGTTTTACTTACATCACAATAAAGTCACTCTAACTATCGGCCATCCAGTCAAAGGAGACACTATAGAATTAGTATGCTGTGAATAACAAGCTTAGGGGCTGACACCAAACAATAGACAAGAAGTTATTTGTTCCAATCCCAAATAAGCCATGCACTAAACCTTGGTGTTTTGAAATGAACAATGTAAGACCATACTATAGCCATTGTGAGTTCTTTCCACTGTCCAAAACCTTGTTTTATACCATATATTAAATTAAAAGAAATACTTCATCCAAACCACTGCTTTTTTGAGTATCTCCATGAGACGGGTCTTTTATCATCGGCACTTCAAACACTCGCTACACTGCCCCTTTTGGTGACAACAATAGCCATCTTCTTCAGCTTCATTACTTTGTCTCTGTACCTAGTATTTCCAGATCACTGTCACCCTTTTCTGTAAAAGGTTTAAAACTTTCTCCAAGTAACAAATATGTAACCCACAATCATAGCTGGGATTTTAAGCATCTTAGAGATGAGTTAAAACACAATATGTAGTGTGAATTGAAGGATATGCTTTTATTTTGGATTGTCAATAAGCTTAACTAGTTTTGCACTGTGAGGGAAAATACTGCTGAATAAAAAATCAAATTCAAAACACACTAATTAAACGTACCCTGCATTACATTCAAAAATAGTTCAATTGAAAAGCTTGGCAGTAAAGCATTGGATCCTGTTCTAATGTATACAACAAAATTACTGCTACATATATACATACTACAAAATAGTTGCATATCACTCATCTTTTGCACATTTTGTTTGAAATATCACTAGCAGATATACCGGTAAGTGGTGTTCTCACTGGACGAAATAAGCCGTTGTCACAAAGCGAGAACGTTGTTAAAATGTGTGTGTGAACAGAATATGCCGTTATGGCATCAGCGTTTTTGACATCGTCATAATAGGGGTGGACCAGATCCAAAATGCCGTTGTCACACCGGCTCTTACACAACGCAATGTTCCGTGTGAACACATTACGACGGCCAAATGCCCTCTATCGCCGACTTATTTATGTTTGTCATTACACAAGATGACATCAGATATTACAGGTCGAATATCAAACTGGTCAGACAAAGAAACAAGATTACTGATATCTGTATAGAGAGAATCGAATATTCATAAAATGATGAATGGAACGTCTAGGGATGCTAGAGTATATGCTGTGATTGCAGAGAAAGCGGCTGAAAAGGGGTTCAGTTGGAAAGGACGTCATTACAATATCAACGGAAAATCAAAACTTTACGTATAAAGTATGTGACTGAGCACAACAACAGAAGCGGTAGAGATTGAACAACTATACTATTTTGGGAGGAACAACACAAAATATTAGGTGGAAGACCAGCATTCAATCCTCAAACACAAAGTGAGAACGCGAGCAGACAATTCAGCAGATTATCTAATATTTGCACAACAAAAAAACAGTGTAAACACCGGCGTTTTTTAGACGTGTGCTTATATAAATGTAGTTCAGTAAATGCATAATATCCTGTTTAACATTATCATGTGTGTTCAAACAATGCGCAGAGAAAAACAATCATGCAGCAATGGATGGAAGACTGGATAAAAACAATTATTTAATACTACAATGACACAAACTCATAATATCATTTGAAAGTTCATTCAAAAAGCTATCAACAGCAGGGTAATGTATCTGCCAATTATTGACTGTTTGCAATCATAACACGAAATGCATGTTCACAGACATGATTATAGACATCATGTCTTGTAAGAAGCGAACATTTCTAGTTCAGTAAAATTATGAAACCTCAGTTTTTGAAATACTCAAGTGATAAAAACTGATAATTCATGGTGGAGAGTACTTTAATATCCACTCACTTGAACAACACTGTCACTCATAGCAACCAGCTCTACCAATAAGTGATAACCACACAATGTAGGCTGTACTGAATATGTTTCCCAATGTCGGTAATTGATAAGAGAACATTTGCCGTTGCAATTCTTCTACATTCTTGAATAACTGTTGTTAGAATGGGTAATTAAAAATCGAATAACAAAAGAAGTCAAATGCCTATTATATAGAAATCAATTCCACAAGAACACTACAATAGCAGTCAAGGTTGCAGTTCAATTCATGCTTACTGCAGAGTGAAAAGTATTTGAAATGTGCACAGTTAGAACTAGATGAGTACACTATGACAGTTACATGTAGTACATACATAGCCTCTACAGACATGCAACCACAGTATAGACATGAACTGTAAAACCATTTATTTTCACTGACATTTAATTTCACTATTTTGATGTTTTGAGCAAGTTTCATTTAATTTCATGAATTTGTCAAGAAAACAATGAGTTTTATTGTCATTTTACAAGTTCACAAAGATTTCACAGCAAAAATAGCGGAATGAAACCCTGTAAATAATTGACGCATTTACAGTAAATAGTATCTCTCATTTCCTATATTCTCTAAGTTACACTATTTTGGGGATCATGTTTTTATCCTCCACTAAAAAGTAACAGATGGTAGCAAGCTAGTAACCTGTTTTGTATAAATTCTATGAATAGAAAGATTAGAAAATATTTACCCCCCCCCCCCCCCCCCTCAGTAGTTTGATACATTTAGATTTCGCGTTTTGAAAATTACCGGTAATAGGTGGGTAAGACTGAGTAATTTGTAAATTTTTAGAGCTGTTCAGTAAATCAGTAAACAAAACCCTAATGCAGAATGCTGCATATGCAAACACAACATGTAATGTAGGAAATTGCAATAAATTTTATGAAATCCACAGTGATAATTCCTGTCTAAAAAACATGTCTCTGTTATAATTCACTAAATTCATGTATATGTTGTGAATCTCCTCTAAACATTCAGAGCCATTTTAGATACACAGATTATGAGATTACAGAATCAGCATTACCATGATACGAGACAAAAATTCATTGAAGCCAAGTATAGGTAGTTGGATACAATGTACGTTAGCAATAAAACCAAGTAGAGACTTAGAATGGGATACATTTCAATTCTACACAATGTAGTTTAATAAGGACGACACCATACAAAACTATTGTCTGATAACACTAATTTTTGTTACCATTGAAGTTTTGGGATAATATTTTATCAATAGTGGCCATTATAGTTGAGGATTTGAATAAGCAGCATATTGATGAAGTCAGCAAATAATATCAAAAATCACCTGGCCATTACTTTTTTTAATTTCCTCTCGCAACAGGAAATTCTGAGAAGATGGTTAAATATGAGTTTAAAGTCAACTGTTTCAGAAACATTAAAACTCAATCATCAAGGGAGCAAATGGCTTTCTTTCAGCAGTTCAACAGCCTTATCGTTGCATTTCCGATAAGAATTCATGGTTTCCTGCAACCAACTACGTTATTTTTAAATTGTTGTTCAACAAGGTATTGTATCTTGTACAAGAACTAGCAGTTTAAGTGGCTTCATGCTCTCTCATTACGTACAAAATGATCGACTTTATAATACACAAATTTACAATACCCAGAATTCCCTGAGAAACATTACCCATAAACCATTTAGCTAAATATTCTGACAATGCACACAGGGCAGGTATTTTACACATTCTACAATCATTTTTTGTAGTTGAATCAAAAGAAAGTTGAAAAAATAAATAAATAAAACAGTTTCTCAATTGTTTTGTAAAATTTATGCAGGGCACATTTTATCTTTATTGAAAAATTGTCATGAATATTCAAAAAATATTCAATTTTTTAAAAGGAATTTTTAAGTCTGAAACTATGAAACAAACAACTGACAAGTATAGTATAATACAACAAAACAAATCCACAACACCAATCCATTGAGTATAGTACACCACAGTACAGTCAAAATGTATATAGAACTTATGGTATTTATCAAGCCAAAATCTTTTTCAGGGTCTTATTGTTCAGTGCAGTCTGGGAATTTCAGACTTCAGTAGCAATGAGTAGGATTATGTAACAGGAACAATTCAAGAAATACACAAACCCACTGTGACTGCATGCATTGGTGTGTATGGTTTCAGCCAAGGGTGGTAATAGATCTAAGTGGAGTTGTCAATTACAAAACTAATAAACAAACTTCAGAAATTCCTAAATAAACAGAAGAAAAGCTCCAGCTAGAGGTCAAACATACTAATCATTCATACTCATAAAATGACATTTTTACTTTTTATAGTTTGTTTAGTGCCATTCAGTCCCTGTTTGAGAAAATCATAATCCCAATGAAAACTAATAGACATTTAGTTCATCAAACAAAGAAGTCAGTCAAGTTCACAAAGTAGAATAATTATCATGTACATATTGGATGTTGAGAAATATGCAATACTGAAGTGAAATTGGAATTCTTTTCCATAACAACTATAACTCAGGTACAATAAAGCACAGTACCCAGATAATAATATACTTTTCACAAAATTACATAAACATACAGTAATGTAAACATGTGCAATAAAAAAGCAAAACACTCATGCAATAGAATGCACAAATTTAGGTGGATATGTATTACATAACACTTCAATTGTATGCATATCTGCACAAATCAAGGGTGAAATTTATGACAAATTCTTGAATTCATCATACAATATTATGTCCTCTGATTGGATGATTATTATTAGCCAATCAAATTACTCCATTCATTCAAGGTGAATAACAAATAACTAGGTGACAGTAACCTAGTTATTTTAATCAAAATACATATTCCACATTTATTCACTCAAATCATTATCCAATCATGCCATTCAGACAACACCACAACTAAATAAGAGATTTCACTAACCGTCTTCCGAGAACTGGAGCATGGTTCGCTGTCGTTCCTGGATGCAATGTATCCACAAATGTCACAGTTTTTGCTCCCATAGCAACGCTGTCACTCAGTTTTCTCTTCCAGTTCACTATGCTACTTTTGGCAGGTAATTTCTCCTGGTTGCTATGGTATTTGGACGGACTGATTTGAAAATCTGGTTCAATTCCAAAAACATTGGAACACATATTAAACACATCGTCATATTTGTGGTTATTTACAGGCAGCTCAGCATGTAGATTGCGGCCAGGTATTGGGTAAGCCAATGATAGGTTATCACTATGATTAGTGTTTTGGCTGAACTTTTTATCATCTTGCTTATGTTCAGACATTAGAGCTCCCATAAAATTGGCAGTATCCAGTGGACGGGCTGGCACAGAAAACTTTCTAAAGTTGGTATGTGCTTCTGGTGGTGGCATTTTAAAATCTGGGCGGCATCG